TCAAGTGCATTACACGACAATCATAAAAAATATTTTTTTTACCTTATGGTAATATAACTGTGGGAGATAATTTATAGCCTATTGTCCTTTAACTTAATATGTACTGTATTATTTCAACTAAACAGTTACAAGCTCTTGTCAAAATCAAGAAGGAACAGAATGCATTTTTCTTTCAAATTAGGATCATCAGTCATGTTTTGCTACTTCTCATTTAGGATCCACCAGTATTTCCAAATATTCTTCCTTACAAACTACCTTTCATAATCAAGTATATATAAGTCACCAATATAAAATAACTAAAACTTGATTTTCCAAGTAAAAATTACCTGAATAGAATTTTCCTTGGAAACAGCACTAATTAATGATTTACAGTATGTTATCGGTTAAAGCAATTTTGCATTAATTCAAATCACTTCAATTCATCTGAGCCATATGCATTTACTACAAACCCCTTGAACTCATCGTGAACAGTTCAAATTAACGTTTTTAACAATTCATTGTTGATATTCTATTATCCTGCTTTGCCATATATTACTTAAGGTATGCTCATCAGAACACAAATAACCTACACTTAAGATGATGTTTCAGTCCATCCTGGACCATTTTTCTATACAAATGCACTTTATTCATACTTGTCAAAGGTATTTCCATTTCCTGCTGCCTCCTGCCTTCAACAGATTTTCAGTCCTTATACACAGCATTCCTATCATGAATCATAGTCCCTATTTTATTACTAGACACCAGCCTTTCATACAATATCAAATGCTCTAATATTTAAAATGCTCATGCCTTGACCTGACCTTTGCCTTCTCATTTCTCTTGACCTGTCTAATGTACTTCATGTATCCTGTCTTCAGACTGTCTTGCTTGTTTGCCACTTTCCTAGCATGGACCCTTACATCTACTGCAGTACTCCTCTTTGTACCTATTAAACCCTTTGGAACTGGAGAAACAGAGAACTCCACTCTCAAATGCAATTTGTTGTAACTCCCATTACTATTATTTCTTCTACTGTTTTTACTACCGCTACCTTCTTCCCCTCTCCCAATCCATTTTATTTTCTCAGCATTTTCTTTTGTTAATACTTAATAATGGTCCAGGAGTGACCAAAATTGTCATTTTTTAGTTCCCTCAAGTACAGATTATTTATGAAATATTCCAGCCACAGTACTTTGACTTGTTCTTGGTGCTCATTAAAGCAAGTAGGATGATAATACTTAAAATTGCATTTATCACTGTAAAATGGTTTTTTAGGACATTAATAAAGGTGTTATTAATTGGCCATAACAGAAAATTCTTTAAAATAGTTATAGTTTTACCTAGGTAGTAGGTTGGTAGACAGCAACCGCCCAGGGAGGTACTACCGTCCTGCCAAGTGAGTGTAAAACGAAAGCCTGTAATTGTTTTACATGATGGTAGGATTGCTGGTGTCCTTTTTTCTGTCTCATGAACATGCAAGTTTTCAGGTACGTCTTGCTACTTCTACTTACACTTAGGTCCCACTACACATACATGTACAAGCACATATATACACACCCCTCTGGGTTTTCTTCTATTTTCTTTCTAGTTCTTATTCTTGTTTATTTCCTCTTATCTCCATGGGGAAGTGGAACAGAATTCTTCCTCCGTAAGCCATGCGTGTTGTAAGAGGCGACTAAAATGCCGGGAGCAAGGGGCTAGTAACCTCTTCTCCTGTATATATTACTAAATGTAAAAGGAGAAACTTTCGTTTTTCCTTTTGGGCCACCCCGCCTCGGTGGGATACGGCCGGTGTGTTGAAAGAAAGAGTTATAGTTTTAACATATATAACTTTATAAACTCTTTTGCATTTTAAACTAGGTTTCCTCTGTGCAAAGGTAAAGGATCTTCACACTACACCTGGAATTATCACGGCAAACTCAAAAGTAGTTCTGTCAAGAACTCATCTGGATTTTCAATCTCGTGAAGCAGACCTATGGAAAAAAAATTAAAATTTATTACTTTACTATCTAAGCTAAACATCAAGAATATGACAAGTAAAAATTATGTTGAAAAAATGCTGAATGCAATATAATCATTGATTATAAAGAAATCAAATTTATAGTAGTTAACATACGTTTTGCACAAGATAACTAATTTTCACTTCCACTCTCATGGTAAAGATAATTAAGCTTAAAATTAACTACTTTCATTCTACACTAATTTTAGTTTTCAAATTCTCTAATAAATTCATTAAATTCTTACTTTTAATCGCAAGGGACAATCACAGTGCTATCCTTACCTCGTATTATTAATTACATTTAGGGGGAAGTGCTACACCCCCCTTGGGGGTCATACAATGAATGCAAAGAATGGGAGGCAAATACAGTCAATCCAAGGAATTTAAGGATAAGACCAATTCCTTGGGATCAAGAACCCCTCAACAGTATCAAGGAACATCATCTTATAGCCATGTCCTGCAGGGTGTAGTACTTAGTCTTCATTATAATAATATAGCCATGTATATTGTAGAATTAACTCTGAATACAGACTACTACTACTTACCTCTTCTCAGTAATTAGTAACCAAAAACAAATAGAAATTATAACTTAAGGATGCTTGAATATGCCGGTGTGTAGTACAAACAGGCACAAAATGATTGTACGTATTATGAAAAAGGTAACTAATGACTTGGCAACAAGTGAAAAGTTATAAAGGACCAGAGAGTTTGACAAAGGAGACTTTCAAGAAGTTTGTCTTGAGTACCTGAATGAACTGAAGAAAGTGTAGAGATACTGTTAAACAAACCAACGTGGAAAAACAGAATACACGTGTTTTGAGAATGGTATGGACGAGAATGAAAGGAGAATCCAAAAAGTGGATTATAGTTAATGAACCTTTGTGCGATACTACTGTAGAGAAGATTCTAGAGTGTGTTAACTAAATGTTTGAGAGAATTTCGAGCCAAGAAAAATTATCATTATTATTATTACATTCATGGGGGGGAGTGCTAAACCTGTAGGGGTCATACAGTACTTGGGAGAATGGAAAACATTCAGACAATTCAAGGAATTGGAGCACAGGTCTGAACCTTGAGGGAAGGTGCCTTTAAAACAGTGAACATATGGTAGTTTGTAAAACAAAACAAGGAAATACTTAGCATAAAACTGGGAATGATGTGCAAAAGAAATTCACTGGGAATACTGCAACCCCTCCCGTTTAGTCTTCATATGCATCACACAACACTATCAAATTTGATGGAATATGATTGTAATGACTGCAACGCAATTTTGTCCCTGGCAATTACCAGGCTTCAATTCATCAAATTTCAACAGGTCATAATAATGTAAAGATTCAACATTATCTGGATTTCTTTTCATAGTTACATTCAGTTTTTGAGGCTGTACAATTCTGAAAGAATTTTTTTTAAACTGCCCACAGTTTGGGAATATATAATTTGAGGCAAACAGAAGTATAAGTAGAGGAAGGATTTGAGAGAGTGCATGATCATTAATCTAGAGTGGAAGTTGGGATATGATGATGGAAAGTGCAGATGACAAAATATTTGAAGCAATTTAAGGAAACAAATTAGCCGGATTAGAGTTTTAAGAACATAAGAACATAAGAAAGGAGGAACACTGCAGCAGGCCTGTTGGCCCATACTAGGCAGGTCCTTTACAATTCATCCCACTAACAAACATTTGACCAACCCAATTTTCAATGCTACCCAAGAAATAAGCTCTCATGTGCAAGTCCCACTTAAATCCAACCCCTCCCACTAATGTACTTATCCAACCTAAATTTGAAACTACCCAAAGTCCTAGCCTCAATAACCCAACTAGGTAGACTGTTCCACTCATCAACTACCCTATTTCCAAACCAATACTTTCCTATGTCCTTTCTAAATCTAAACTTATCTAATTTAAATCCATTACTGCGGGTTCTCTCTGGAGAGATATCTCAAGACCTTGTTAATATCCCCTTTATTAATACCTATTTTTCCACTTATACACTTCAATCAGGTCTCCCCTCATTCTTCGTCTAACAAGTGAATGTAACTTAAGAGTTTTCAATCTTTCTTCATAAGGAAGATTTCTAATGCTTTGTATTAATTTAGTCATCCTACGCTGAATGTTTTCTAACGAATTTATGTCCATTTTGTAATACGGAGACCAGAACTGAGCTGCATAATCAGGTGAGGCCTTACTAATGATGTATAAAGCTGCAGTATAACCTCTGGACTTCTGTTGCTTACACTTCTTGATATAAATCCCAGTAATCTATTTGCCTTATTACGTACGCTTAGGCATTGCTGTGT